TGGACGTTTTGTGTTATGACTATTTTGTCTTTAGTGTTTTCTTTGACTGATGAATCTATTTTCTCTATTGTGTCTTCAGTGTCAGAGATTCTCTGTTCCATCTCTTGCATTCAGTTGGTTATGCTTGTTTCTGTAGCTCCTGTTCATTTAGTCAGGATTTCTATTTCCAGCATTCCCTCATTTTGTGTTTTCCTTATTGTCTCAATTTCAAATTTCAAATCTTGAATTGTTTCCTTCATCTGTTTGATTACTTTTTCTTGGCTTGATTTGATTTCTTCCCATTTTTTGTTTGTTTTTTCTTCCATTTCTTTAAGGGGATTTTTAATTTCCTCTTTAATGGACTTTTTCATTTCCTCTTTAAGGATCTCTATCATCTTCGTAAAGTCATTTTTAGGATTGATTTCTTTTGCTTCTTCTGCCTTGGTATATTCAGGTCTTGCAGGTGTAGAATCGCTAGGTTTTGATGTTGTCACATAGGTCTTTATGTTGTTGCCTGTATTTTTGCACTGGCATCTACTCATCTCTTCCTCTGCTCGGTGTAAGCGGTGTCTGTATCTGAAGGTGCCTCTCTTGTTCTAATTTTTAGTCTTGGTACACCAGGAGTTCTTGGTTAAATAGGTACTGTTGGGCTCTGTTTCTCCGGGAATAGCTTAGTCCAATCAGCGTTAGTGGATTCTGTCTCAGGGAGCAGTTATTCTCAATTGGTGCAGTGTGTGCTTAGGGTGGTTGTTAGGTTCGTAGGTTTTTTTTTGTTTCGTTTTGTTTTGTTTTTGGTGGGGGAGCAGGGAAAGGTAGCTGCCTGGTCCCTGGGACTCGGATAGGTAGGGCCTAGGGGCTAGAGACCTGATCTGCTGGTCCAGAGATGGGGGCTTACCTGTTCCCAGTCAGTGTACGGTAGGCTTATGATTCTGGTGATCTGGTGCGGTAGCTGGTCGGTGCCTTCTTTTGGGTTCTCAGGTCACGTTTTGCTCATTCGCCAACTCCTCAGCTGATCTTGCTTCCTCAGACTGCAGACTGTAGGATTCTGAATCCTCTCTCCAATGGATCTCAGCTGAGCAGGTTGTTTAGTAGGGTAATCTCACCAACACTTTCAAGTTGTTGGGTTTCACAGGATCGAGCTGGGCCCTTGGTTGGCCTCAGGCGGAATGTTCAGATCCATTCTGGTCGTGTCCCATGGAGATGGCTCCTTCCCCGGGTGCTGGGATTAAAGGCGTCCCAGTTCCAAACTCTTAATCTCCTTGTTTTCACTAACTCCTCAGCGGGTAAAAGCTCAGTTTCTGTTCTTTATTAAGACCGCATCTCTGCCACCGCTCAGCCTCTGCCTCCACCTCTCTGCCTGCTTCTGCCACCCCTCTGCCTCTCACATTGCAATTCTTTAATGAAAGAAGTAGAGTTAGAGGTATATGATCATAATGTCTACATGCCTTTCTGGACAGCAGCTAAGCAACATACTTGATGTCCTTTAAATGGCCATGCCTGAGACCTGACGCAGTGGAACTATCCAAAGGCTACAAATATGTGCAGGAGTCTGTTTGGAACAGTGAGAACTACCAGATGCCCAGTGTCACACAAGGGAGGTCACTGGGTGGTCAGTGTGGACAAGGTCATGATAGAGGTCTGACGTCACAGCCCCACAGGCAAAGCTGCACAATGAAGGTGATCAGAAGTGAATCCGGTAGAACACAAATCGTCCACTTTCTCTCAAGAAACTTCGGGTGCATAATATAAGATGGATACTGAGACTCAAGAGATGGCTCGGTTGTTAAGGACACGTACTGCCCTTGTAGAGGACCCATTAACAACCATCTGTAACTCCAGTTCCAGGGGATCCAATGCTATCTTCTGGCCTCTGCAAACATTAGTACACACACACACACACACACACACACACACACACACACACACACTCACACACACACACACGTAAAACACTCATACACATAAAATAAAATAAGTTTATAAAAATGAGATTGATGTTGGAGAGGCACACCATAACTAATCCAGAAGAGAAGCAAACGGTCCAGCAGGGAGGAGGCTGAGGACCCTGTGGCTTCAGGGGCAGGGCTGAGTGAAAGACAGGGCTGGGTCGATGGGGAAAGAGGGAGAAAAGGATGAGGGAGGAGAGGGAGGGCTTGGGTGAGAGACAGGGCCCCAACATCCTACCAGGCTTCTCTCACAGTCAGAGGCTCATCCTGAAGAGCTGCCATCTCTGTGGTCATCCGGTCAGCGGGACCAGCACTCATAGTTAGCGGCAGAGAAGCTGAGAATGTCCTATGTCAGTCCGCCCTCCCCAGGGGCGGGGACACAGGGGGCAGAGCTAATAGCCTCTCCTCCACAGGTGG